GTTCACTACCCCCGACGCCGACGTCGTGCTTCGCACAAGCGACAATGTAGAGCTCCGGGTCCATCGCCACATCCTCTCGGAGGCATCTCCGTTCTTTAGAGACCTATTTACTTTGCCACAAGGCGATTCAACAGACAGTGCCACCGCACCTACCGTCGACATCCCGGAAAACACGGAGGTCATGGAAACTTTGCTGAAGCTAATCTATCCCGGAATGGAGCCCGTCATAAGTACTCTCGACGAGCTTTCAGTCCTGCTCGCGGCTGCGATGAAGTACGATATGGTCCGTGCCTCCGAGACCTTGCGCCGCCTCCTTGTGTCACCACGCTTCGTCGAGAAAGAGCCCACTAGGGTGTACGCTATTGCATGCCGTCACGACCTTGAACACGAGGCACGACTTGCATCCTCGCACACGCTGCGCATCAACATTATCGACTGCCCGCTTTCGGAAGACCTGAAGTACATCACCGCGTGGTCATACCACCGGCTGCTCGACCTGCATCGTCGGCGGAGTGCGGCCGCGGAAGACGTATTGGAGAGTTCGATTGTGGGCACGGACGACGTGAAGTGTATGCAGTGCAGCGCAGCGCACTACGGCTCGCTGTGCCCCCCGCGCTGGTGGACAGACTTTGCGCGGCGAGCAAAGGAGGAGCTGCATGCGCGCCCGACGACGGACGTTATATTCTCGATGGCGTTTCTCGCCCAATCTGCGAATACGGGATGCCAACGCTGTGCAGGATCGATCCTTGATTCTTACGCTTTCCTTGAGACACTGAAGCGACGTATTGACGATCTTCCGTCCACAATCTAGCCACATTTTTGTTTTTCTTATTTGGGATACTCGGCCATGTCTATGACCAAACTTTGTTCACGTCTTGATGACTTACGATACACGCTTCTATCAACATCTCATAGCACAGTTCATTTTTCTTTCGGCCGATTATACGCTATACATTACTTTGTCCCACATTGAGTTTATCCATGTCTTAGAAAGTTACTGTATAAACTTCGCCAGTTTACCCGCTCTTTAATGTGGCTCCGACCGGGTTTGCACATGCTCAGCGAATGAAGACGCATTTTGGTATCTTCGACACTCACCACCACCTTCATCTTTCCTAACATCGAGAACATCAGTGAACAATGACCAGCCCGCAGCTTGCGACGTTCAAAGCTCCCGCCGTCGAAAATGAGACTATGGCAAGTGACGATATACGCGCCATTCATACTTGCGCTACTATTACCACTAACCCTGAATGCGCTTCGCAATATAGAAGAGCTATGCTCCCGGCTCCGACGAGCGACGGGCTCTCGAAGCGGCGCTGACGCAGATGGAACAAGAGCTGCCTTCGAGGTGCCGTGCATCGTCAACGGGAAACCCGTACGTCCCCGACCGCATACTCACCCCTGTATGTATGCGCCTCCTCACACCTCCTGATCTGCCGCCAGGTGAAGACAGGAAAACTCGCAAAACAGCCCATACCCGCCGCGCACGCACAGCACCTGTGCGTATACCACGAGGCGGACCCCGCGACGGTCTCGGCCGCGATCTCCGGCGCGCTCGCAGCGAAGGCGGCGTGGGAGGCGCTGCCATGGGCGGACCGCGCGGCCATCTTCCTCAAGGCGGCGGACCTCGTCAGCGGGAAGTACCGCTACCGCCTCATGGCCGCGACGATGCTCGGCCAGGGCAAGAACGCGTGGCAGGCGGAAATCGACGCGGCGGCAGAGGTACGTGTCTCGAAACGGCGTTCAGGGCTGGTGCTGAGACGTGTATATCGCTGCACTGCGTAGCTCGCGGACTTCTTCCGCTTTGGTGTCAAGTTCGTGGAGGACCTCTACCAGCAGCAGCCTGTCAAGAACTCGAAGGGCGCGTGGAAGTAAGCACCATTCTTCTAAACGTTGCTTTGATCGATTCTGACAATCTGTAACTATAGTCGTGTTGAGTATCGTGCGCTCGAGGGCTTCGTGCTCGCCGTATCGCCATTCAACTTTACCGCCATCGGCGGCAACCTTCCCGGAGGTACGCGGTCTCCTAATTCAAAAATTTCAACTAACTCATTACATCCTCACGCGCACACGCGTCCCTAGTCCCCGCGCTTGTCGGCAACGTCGTCGTCTGGAAGCCCTCGCCTGCCGCAACGTACGCGAACTACCTTACCTACCAGATCCTCGCGGAGGCGGGCGTGCCGCCCGGCGTGATCCAGTTCGTGCCCGGCCCACCACCTGCTGTCGTACAGCAGTGCATCGAGTCGCCCGACTTCGCGGCCCTCCACTTCACGGGCAGCACGCACGTGTTCCGCAGTCTGTGGAAGGACATCGCAAACAATCTGGACAAGTACAGAGGATACCCGCGGATCGTGGGCGAGACTGGTATGTAAACCACAAATCATTTAGGCGGAAAAAGTATTGACTTTGTTTTCTTTTTCTTCTTTTCGCAAATAGGTGGCAAGAACTTCCATGTCGTACACGAGTCGGCGGAGCTCACGAATGCGGTGCTGCAAACCATCCGCGGGGCCTTCGAGTACCAAGGTGCGTGTGTGACTCTACTCAGATCAGAACAGCACTCAACTCGCTGTTCTTGCTGCAGGTCAGAAATGCTCGGCGCTATCCCGGCTCTACGTCTCGTCTTCGCTCTGGGAGAACGGCTTCAAAGACAAACTTCTGCAGGAGGCCGCGAAGATCAAGGTCGGGCCGCCGCAGGACTTCGCGAACTTCATGGGACCCGTCATGTGCGTCGCCCTGAATAGAAGATTTACTGCAAACCATCTTATGAGTAATTAAAGAGGGAGACCTGCTTTCGACAAGATCACCGGTTATATACAGAAAGCCAAAGACGCGGGAGGCGAAATTCTCTTTGGCGGTAGCGGTGCGCACTCGCTGGAAACAGACTTGGCTGAAATCAGAAGCTTACTTGCACGTCCTGTAGCTGATGACTCGACGGGCTACTTTATCCAACCGACAATCATTCAAAGCAAGGACCCTAAATCTGTGACTCTTGTCGAAGAGATCTTCGGGCCTGTACTTTCGGTACGATTGCTCGTCGCATATACCACCGGATACGCGCCTGCTGACACAATGTGGTGTAGGTTTACGTCTTCGATGACAAGGACTTCGACGCGACGCTCGACCTCGTCGACTCGTCGACTCCCTACGGTTTGACCGGGTCAATGTAAGTGCTGCTCTCCGCTCATTCTCATTCTTATCCATCAAACCATTCACCATTCTCTTCCAACGCAGTTTCGCCTCCGACCGGCGCGCCTTGCTGCGCGCGACAGATCGCCTGCGCAACGCGGCTGGGAACGTGTACTACAATGAAAAGTGCACGGGTGCAGTCGTTGGGCAGCAACCGTTCGGCGGTGCGCGCGCGAGCGGCACTAACGATAAGGCGGGCAGCATCAGCATCTTCTACCGCTTCGTGTCCGCGCGCAGCATCAAGGAGAACTTCGTGGGCCTGGAGGAAGTCGCATACCCTTCCAATTTCGTGTAGCTTGGGAGGTGGGTGTGAATACTATAGAAGTAACAATGTAAGAGGGTGTAAGACACGTAGAATCATGATTGTCGTCTATGTTAAGTCATTACTGGAATTCGATTGGATGTCGGGCTTTTTACTTAGTTGAATTACCAGCAGCTACAGGGATCCTGAGGAGACTAGAGGCGGCCTCACGTTGAGGCTCCAGTGTGCCTTCTGCGTGCTCATGATATGTTTGCCAGCAATTCGTACTTGGTAGGTTGAGGGAGATTATAGAACGAAAAAGAGGAAAGAACGTCAAGGAAGAAAGAGGGGAGGAGGGATTCAATTACATGCATTCATTTTAACCTATGTATACTGTCAAAAATGCGGCAACGACTCATCCTGTGTTTCCAGCTTCGTATCTCAACGGATATTTGACAGAAATTCTTCATTGTTGTACCATTGCAAAGAGAATTGTCTTGGCTCTCTGAATATATGGTTTTTATGATTTTACGGAATACATTTCGTGCGAGAGAAATATAGTTCTGTGACGAGTCAGAAACCGATAAATAACCGGCAACGACCCACATTGCCCCGGCCTCGTTGAAGGTTTTTGACACAAAACTACTACAGCCCTCAGATTTTTTATTAGACAGATATTAGGTCTAACATACAGGCATTTTATATCCACAATTTTTTTTTGAAAATTGAGACCGAAAGTGATAAAACAAACAATATTTATCGAGACTTAGACAGCTCTGCTTGTCCTTATTTGTCAGAGCTGTCTTTTTACCTTGCTCACGAGGGTATCAAAGAGAGTTGGTATCATATCTCAGCAACGCGTATCTCTACAGCTTTATAAATTTGCATAGCAAATATTGAATTGTTTTGAAATGAGAATTTGATTTTTTATTGAAATATGATTTGCCAATGCCTCCTAATAAAACTGGTTTAGAAAGGTTGAAACAGCCATCATTAGTTGCATATATGCAGGTTGTTGAGCTGTTGATGTCGATTTAAAATACAAGAAAATTCACAGAGGATATGTAGTATATAATTAGTTAGTATGTGAAGTTTAAAGATGTACTTCGTACTTGATCATGCTCGGTGCTTGCAACTCAATGCTCTGTGAAATTAGAAGAAATCCGCAATTGAGCTTCAATGATAGCACAACCAGGAGCTCCAGAGATACCTACAGGCTACCAAGTTTTACCCTAGAGAAGAATAGCATGCTTAAATATCCCATGCAAATTTTCAGAGAGAAATATGAACTCTTTGCTGAGTCCGAGACAAGTCCTTCTGGCCTATCCTCAGATGCAGTTTCCAATTTGAGAAGAAGTACCAAAATTCGAATATATTTTAGCATTTGTAGAGCATACACCAGACCAATCAGCTTAAAATTTTACGTGCGGCATGCCATTAGGTATATCAGAGTATGTGCAAATTTATTTGAGAAACGGTGCTGTTTTGATTGGTCTGTGCACAAGGTGAGTCGTTGCTGTACGTGGGTCGTTGCCGCTTTTGTGACAGTATTTATTATTTTAAAAAATATGGTTGCCTGGCGAAATGGTATCGCGTCTGACTACGATCCTCTGTCATGGACTGTTATAATCAGGAGATTGCAGGTTCGAGACCTGCGGTGATCATTGGTTTCTAGCCTGCTTGTTTTGTTCTTTCCTTTTTTTTTTTCTGCAAAGAATGACTATCGGAGCCAAGTCAATGTAGTGAGGAGGAGGAAGGGGATCTCCTATAAGGTTCTCGCCGCTGTGGCTGGCCTGGACGACATGAATTTCGAACCGGCCCAGACTCGCCCGCTTTTTTCTGCTGCCATTACTTACGAAAGCCACAGCGATTATGGAAACATGAAAATGAACGGTTTTGTGAGCTTTCGCCATAGAAAACAACAAACCCAATGTTAACTACGTCGCCGTTAATGTTTCATTGGGCGGCCCATAATGTTCCGCGCTGAGATTGATGAGAAGCCTCGGTGCCAGCAGTGCCATGATCGTTAGGGCGAATGTCTGATACGAGTTGAGATGCGAGAAAATAAATTCTGTGACGAGGGGTTAAAAAAAAAATACAGACTTCGGGATTTCAGAATTTCACAGAAATAATTGAAACCCGCTCACCGAAATCATCATTGTAGCAAGAGAAAGGGTTATTCCAACAAAGCACAGGTCTTATTGACCTCTAAATAATAATTGCGGTATTGCTTACAGTCATTAATACCGTTGACGAGACGGAGATTCGTGGAGTCAAGGGCATTCTCAGAATTTTATGCCGGCTATATATCACTGTTTTCTGGATCTTCTTACAATGTGCTTATGCAATATAGTTACGTAACTGGATATCGTTTGATAACTTTGATTTCCCATATTGCTGCCCTTCTCTTGTAATTCACTGGCCGCAGCTATTTAAAAACCAGTTTCCTTCCTCGCGGGGAGTGTAGACTCATTAAGCTATGGCGTAGAAACCACATGTACGTGAATTTTAATTGTTTTCACTCAAAATGCAGTGCTGCTGAACAATCTCAAATCGGTCTCCAATGACTGTCGCCAGATGCATATGCCGTTTGCAATGCAACTTGAAGTTAAACTACCATGTCTTCCTTGTCGCATCTTTCCCGATCCTGGTCAAGTCTTGAAATCATAACTTCCGTGCTGAAAGCGGGTGCCATCATCTCCGGGGCGGACGCGACTGACAGCAAAATTGCGAATCCTAACGGTCTCTCGGATGTTCTGCATGCTCGCCTTGCGCTGTTTGACGAAATAATTGACGGTGTTTCGCGACACCGCCCTCTTGACCTTCCCTCTCTCAAACTAGATACCGCGTTTGCATCGCTCTACGTGCTCGAACGCGTCCAGGCTATAATCGGCGAAAATGAAAGAAGCGGTGGTTCTGTCTCTCCAGCGCAAAAAGACACTGCTCCGCTTATAGGCTCAAGAGACATGGCGCAGCTGCGAACACATCTCTCCCTGGTGTATAATTGGGGCACAGAGCTCCTGCTCTCGCGCATCCTGCCGACGCTGCCAAACAAGCGCTCGTCAAAACTGCCTCCCGGTGCACAAATCATCGATCTCACCGCAGCGTTCGAAGACTACACTCTGCTTTTTGGCATGCTAAACCGGCTTCTGGCTATTTTATTTCCTGACGGGGCGCAAGGCCGCACGTCGCAGACTTTCGTTGCGGCAACAATTCTCAACCGCGGCTTCTCGGACCTCTTGCGACCATGTATATGCCTTGGATGGCTGCCCAGCGACCTCCGCGGCGATCTCCCGCCCACTCCCGATCTCATATCGTATACTATGCGGCTTCTCAGCTGGTGAGCTCGATAAGGGCTCTCATAGAAGTGTAGTGAAAATTTTCTAACATATGACTTATCAGTGTACCGCCGTCCCAGACGATAGCGTCGTTGGGTCAAATTCTATCGAAACCAGCTCAAGTGCCTACGTACGTCGGGAAGATATGCTCGCAGCTGCTGAGTGGCCAGCTGCTGCGTCCGGCTGGCGTAGCTGGCCTTTTCTCGGCCACGTTCGGCGAAGACACCGCGTCGACGGACGCACCTCTGGTCAAACTAGAAACTGTGTCAAGGGTGCTGAATCTCGTCCCGAGTAAACAAACTCGCGAGGTACGTACAATGCCTTAAACTCTCCTGAGACGAAGCAGTATTATCAGGTCTCTGATGAAATGCGTTATTTACAGGTGTACTATCCGAGAGTCATAACACGCCTTTTACACCTGCTCACCCCGGCCATGGAACAGAAGACGCCGCCAGCCCACAAACGCGCGGCGGCTTTCGCGCTCTCGCGCATGCTGACCACGGCGCCCAAAGATGGGACCGCAGATCGTGATATCAGGCGTCGCATCGTCGCTTGGTGTCTCCTCGACTCTTTTCACCCTTCCTCAACGTCCAGCGATCCAGATCAAGAGGCCGGGGATCTGGGTCTGACAGAAGAGGAGGCGAAAGCGCGTGTCCTCGCGAAGGAAGGGCTAGTCGTCTCGCCGTCAGATGCCGTGCCGACGTTGTCGACGATCCTGACGAACACGGACCCGTCGCCCGATCTGATCACTGCCCTACTCCAACCAATAATCCCACAGCTCTTTAGTCTTCTGGAACATCTACGGGTTAGCAAGACGGCTGACCCGACCATGAGGGAAACTGTTGAGGGGCTGCTGAGTACGTGGGCGAGAGCAGCGAGCAAGGAGGAGGTTGTTGCTGCACTGTGGAAAGTGGTCGAAGGAGAGGGATACGATTGGCGTGTCGATGCTGCAGGCGAGCTTTTCGTGACTGAAAGGTAAAAACCAAGTTTTTCTGGATGACATTCTTCCCATCTTATGCTCTCTTGACTTCGTTGAAATAGAACATCATCGCTGCCCTCCCTTACTCTGGCACAACTCGCCGACCTCCAGGAAGGAAAACTTGACAATGATGGAGACGAAGAATCCAACCCGCTTAACCTTCGTCCGCACCCTCTGCACTTTGCCAAATTCCTTAAATCAATCAACAGGGAGGACATATCCTCCGCACTCTATTTGCGGGTCCTTGATGCCCACGTCAAATTCGATAACGAGGATGATCCCATGCGGTAAAAGATTTCTTTCGGTTTTTAGAAATGATTTTTGAAGTGACATTTCTTCGTAGGAAACTACTCCTCTTTCAACTTATCATGCAGATCTCAGCACAGGCTGGCGGATCTGCGTCGGCGGAAAGTCCGCTGAAGCGACCAGATGTCTCGCACATGCTGATGTTTATCAAACTGTCTTTGGAACAAGACAGCTCTCTGGTGGACGCCGGATCGTCTGGGAAGCTTACGCTAGACAGCTTGCGACTCGTTCCTGAGGATGACAAGGAAGACGACGATGGTGGTGACAGCGATGATGAAGACTTAGCACCGGGTCTCGAGGGAGTAAACAAAAGTGAACACTTGAGCGTCACTGCAGTTAATTTGCTGCTGACACTCTTGGAAGGTGGGTCGCTTGTCCTTTTCTCGTCGCAGAGATATGATCAAATGCTGACGTATTGTAATTATAGACCACCCTGATCTCTCACCAAAAACCATACCACTCCTCAACGATATCTACTTGCAACTTGAGCCTCTCGCCAACTCTGCGTCGGACGCACTCCGCCCACGCGCTCGCGAAGCTCGGCTCACTCTCACCTGCAGCGGCTCGCATCGTCTTCCCTCCCTCCAAGAGCGCACGGGACGGAAAGGGGGCAGAAGGGGGCGAAGAAAGCCCGCAGGAGAAGTACCAGCGCGCGCTCAAGCTGCTGCAGGATCCACTCCTGCCCGTGCGCGGGCACGGGCTGCTCCTCCTTCGCGAGCTCGTCGCGCCGCAGAAGGCGCCCGCCCGGCAGAGCAAGAAGAAGAAGAAGAAATCTAAGAACGACGCGGGCCGCGGCGGTTAGCATCGTCCAGGGCGCGCAGGTCGCCGCGCCCGCCGTCGCGTCTGCTCTGGTGCCGGCGATCCTGTCGATCTTCATGCAGTCCATCCAGGATGAGGACTCGTACATCTTCCTGAACGCCGTGCAGGGCCTGGCGGCGATGGTGGATGGGTTCGGGAAGGAGGTCTTGAGGGCGCTCGTGGACGAGTATGCGAGGGGCGTGGGCGGCGTGGGCGGGTCGGCGATGACGATGTCGAGCCGTGAGGTGGACATGCGTGTGCGCATCGGCGAGGCGCTCGGGCAGGTCATAAGACGCTGTGGAAAAGCACTGGGAAGCTACGGTAATTCATTCTTCGTGTTCTTTTCTTTCCCTTCCGAACGTGGTTAATCACCGGTTCATTCTGTTACACTTAAACGAAAACACTTATAATTCTTTGAAGAGGTGTCTAAATGACAGTGTGTTAACTATCTTTCGTTTCAGTTGACATCGTTATACCCCCTATCTTTGCTGTCGTCCGCGCATCCCATCTGCCAACGACACTTCGCACTTCGGCCGTGTCGCTGCTCGCCACGGCAGCGGACACGAACTCGCTGGCGCTCCACACATACACTAGCGACCTGGTTTCTGCCATGATCGACCTCGTGCAAGTCGAGTCAGTGTCTGCTGCGAAATCAAGCGCGAAGACAAGACCCGGACTCAATTCGCCAAAAAGCACACCTCCGGGCGCGCAAAATGCCGCCGGTGACGTCAAGGGAAAAAAGGAGGGATCAACAACGCCAGCACGCGAGGAAACATCTGATCTACAGACCAAGACTCCAACTGGACAATGGGCCGATCAGCATGGGGACGACGGGAGCAACGTCATTGAGAGTATCACCATGGACGCGGCGCCGACCGCGGCGGACCCGAAATTCCCGCCGCTGCGGCGCGCGGCGTTGCACTTCCTGTCTCTCCTTCTCCGGTCCCTGACCGCACGTGTGTACGAGGACGGGGGAGAGGGCTTTGCGTTCGGGAGCGATGTATCTGTCTCTTCGATGAAACGGGGGACGACGGTGCTCGGCTATATCTCGGTGACGGACGAGGATGATGTAGTGCGAGTCATGGCTCGGGAAGCTGCTGAGCAAGTTGACCAGCTTAGGAGAGCTGCGGCAGGACTGTGAGGCATTCGACGACAGGGGAGGTTTGGTGCACATGTACAGTACACCCCGCAATTTGTCTCAGATGGAAATCTCCGAAAAGTATTTCGTGACTTGTACCTAATA